TACATTAAATCTCTTGAAATTTGTCACTTAATCACTCAGATCTTCTGACATTTAAAATAATATACACAAACCCCTTAAGGTTTGTATGCGCCTAATACTTAGACTCACACGGTCAATGTCCATTAATATATCAGTTAGTAAATTACATATAGACCCTCTAAATTTGTTAAATTAATGATGTGGTTTCATTAAAATTATGAGATCAACATCAAATTTTAATATTTGATAGGATTCAAAATTAATTTAAAAGTTATAATAAATTAGATCAGTAAATTAAGTGACTAAATTAAATTCTAATAACATTGCTCAAATTATAATATGTGTACAATTCCAAATTAATTTTTTTTAGTACATCTTTTCATTTGGTTTGTTTTATGAGCAATACTATAATTCAAATGAAACTCAAAAAATTACAATTCAAATATATATTATTTTTTAAATGAGTAGATTCTATCAATTTTTTCAATAGGCTTCACTCATCTAATATATATTTGAATTTTAATTTTTGGTTACATTTGAATTACGTAGTATTTCTTTTTATTAATGAGTCTCCTACATCAATAATGCTGACATAATTTTGGCAACGTAGTAACTCCTCCATTAAATTCCAACCACCTCGTACACTGCGTACACTACCTTCGTCATTAATGTGCATACTGAGTTTACACACTTTTACAACCCTTTTGTTAACCACTTTTGATTTTTGTATTTCGTGTTTTGATGCGGAAGGATTGGATTAAGGAAATTGGTAGTTGGTTAAAGCATTTTAGATTACGGATCACATGAGTTGAAAGATAATTAGGGATGACTTTGACATTATTAAATCCTAATCCTAATTACCAATATCCCAATGGAGGGTATTATTGTAAAATGTTCAGAGTACAAAGGTATTTTTGTAATTTACCGACTTAGATTAACATTTCAGTAGTTTATAATGGAGCCAATTGAAATTAGTTGGTCCAATTAATTGTGAGATAATTGGATGATTAATGACCAATTGGAGATATAATAAAGGGATGAGACTAATTGATAGCAGCCCACAATACTAGTCGTTTAACATCAGGGGGAGAAAATAAAATAAAATAAATTAGCGGATTAAAATTGATCATTTCTCAACACGAATTGATGAATGACTCAACCCATTAATTACTATTTATTTGTGACTTTTGATAAGATATCTCTTTAGACATTGTAATCAAGCTCATGGAAAACTATCTCCATTTTCATAAAGATACATATTGGCTAGTGAGAAAAGAAATATACTTGGATAGTGAGGGGTATTATGGTATTTTGATTCCACATACGATTACCCACTAATTGTCCTATGTAAAAATATCTTCTCCTTCACATAAGGAATATGGTTCAGTAGACCTATTATAAATTAGTTGCTCTCCTTCGCCTAATTTTTCATCCAACATTTGAATCTGCAACCCCTCACAAAAGCCTTCACAAATTTGTTGGTGTGACGCAAACTTCCAATTAAAGCAATTATTTCAAAAGACAAAGAAGTTGCAAATCAGTAAGTTGTTGAATTCTATAATCATTTGTCTTGATTATTTGAAAAATATGTTGTATTTCGATTCTTTCAAAGTACTCTTCTAATTGTGGTCGTTACTTTTACACTAACCAAATAACAAACATTTATGATAGATTGGATGAAAAATTTTGCCACTTAATCTCCAGCAGTATGAGTTTTTTCACTTTGTTCTAGAATGACAGTGGACCAGAAAAAAAATCAAGTATTCGTTTTAACTCATTTTGTTTGGATCGGAATAGATTATACATATTGAAAGGTTGACATATATGAAAATAGCCGTATAAACTCGTGCGAGAATGGAAGCGGGAATAGACTGAAATTCATCTCATCTCTGCCTCCGCCACTCCTTTCTAAACCTATGAAATTCATATATATATATATATATATATATATATATCATATTTCATAAAGACACAAACCCCACCCACCTTATCTGAAGTTAAAAGAAAAAAATTGTGAGGTTATAATTAAATTGGATTGTTTGAAATTTCTTCAAAAATTTTGGAATCTATCTTATTTTTTTGGAAGTTGTAACTTAATTCATCGAATTGTAACATGTATTCTTTTGTAATGTACTCTAATGTTTTATTTGGTAGGAATGATGAAAATTAGGAGGGATAAAAAATAAGAGGGATGCATCTACACTTTCTATCTTTCAAGGAAGGAAAGTAGAAATGATATAATTTTCTTCCTTCGTGTTTGTTAGGATGGATGAAAAATTAAAAATATTTAATTTCTTTAAATTTTAAATTTATTTTTTTAAAAAAAAATATAAATACATATTTTACAATTGTATTTATATATGAAATTAATGTATACATAATATATGTATATATCAAATGATATATAAACAAATAAGATACATTTTAACACAAATAATTAACTTTTCATTCACTTTTCTTCCAATTTTGAAGAGATTGATTTTAGTGAGTTGAAAAAAAAGTTCATCTGTCAACTTTTCCATCATTCCTATTTTTCTTCCTTACCATATATGATATTTTATATATTTCTCAAACTTTTCATCCTTCTATTTTTTCATCTTACCAAACGGAAAGGTCCCAATCTTTCTCTTCTCAAGGAGATGTGATCAGATCTTAGATCCTAATTTATCTTTTATTAGTGTTTATTGTAATTAAAATATAAAAAGTATTTAAAATATTTTTTATGGTTGAAATGTAAGAGGATAGTAAAAACTTTACAATAGTAAAATGAAGTATAATTTCCAAAAATTATTTATAGTGAATAAAATGTGTGCTATAATTAAAATAACAAATACGATTAAAATAAATACTTTGGTTAAAATTAAATTATAAATTAGCCGTTACATCATAATTTGAATTGTAATTTTAAGTAATTTGGGTCGTTGTTTTGTTTTTATCATGTGATGGTGTATGTTCTATTATATAAGTATCTTCTTTTAATTAATGAGTCTATTACATCATCAATGACATCATATAGTGCCAACGTAGTACCGTCTCCATGTGGCCCATTGCATTAAATTCCAACGACCTCTTACACTGTCGTTGATGTGCATCCTGTGAATGCACACTTTTATAAAGTTGTTTCAATTATCCTCTTAAAACATACACGAAAAATATAAATTATCCTCTTTGTATTTTTTTTTTCTTTTGACCTTTCAACTTGTTCCGACTGTGGATGAAAGTAGTTGATTGCTAGGTTTTGCATAGTTTAGAAATAAATTGAGTCAAATATAAGTTAAGTGAACATTCTAAAACCAATTGAGACACAGTTTTAAACCGGAGATGCAATATTAGTTTTACCATTTAGACAATATTAAACAATAACCAAAGCCCTTACTTAGAAAACTTTTATATATAAATATATTATCAGAGATGGTCCTCGGGATGGTAAGTGAGATAAGTTTCTTACTCATTTGAAGTCTCAATTTGTTTGTTTGCTTGTTTTAGTCCATTTTATTTGTCTATGTAAAGCTCGAGCCTCACATAAGAGAGATTGTGAAGGGAGCTTGGATCATAAGTGAAAAATAGTAAAAACATTGGAGTCTCATCTGCAATTCACACTTGGGCAAAGACAGGTGGTGATTGGAACACGAATAGATTCCCACTCTTATTGTGATTTGGGCTATCAAAGATTGGTTTATGGTTAATAATCCTCTTCACCCATTGTAATGTACTCTAAATAAACTATATTAATTATTATTTATTTATAATTTTTGATACAACAACTCTTGGACATTGTAATCAGGCCCATGGAAAAATAACTTCACTTTCATGAAGAGACATCTGGGGTACTAAGGAAAGAAACATACTTGGCAATGGCTATTATTGTATTTTCATTCCATGTACGATTCCCTAATAATTGTCCTACGAAAAAATATCTAATCCTTCAACGAAGGAATGTGATTGAGTAGACCTATTATAAATTAGTTGCTGATCTTCACTTAATTTGTCATCCAACATTTCGCCTGCATTGCAATCTTCACTCCCTCACAAAAAACCTTTATAAATCTGCTGGTGTGAGGCAAGCTTTCCAATTAAATCAATTATTTCAGAAGACAAAGAAGCTGCAAATCAGTAAGTTTAGAATTATTTGAAAAATAAGTTGTACTTTGATTCCTCCAAAGTACTCTTTTAATTATAGTCAATAATTTTACACTAACCCAATGGCAAACATTTGTGATAGCTTGGACGAAAAGTTTTGGCACTTTATTCTCCAAGTTAATGAAAAATTTTCACTTTGCCTGTAAAATCTAAATAGCAAATGGGTATTTTCTGTCCAAAACATACTTGAGTGGGGCCCGACTATTCCATGGGATGGGGCTTAAGCAAGATCAAGTCTGGCCTGTATCGAAAATTTTTCGAGTAGGAGCCCTAGACGGACCTTACCTAAAAGGTTATTTGTTTACATCTTTGTATTATTAGTCCTTGGGGAAAATTATGTTTGGACTCTTTTAACTATGGTTTTTCCCTCAACTGATGAGTTTCTCACATTATCTTCTCAACTACTTGATTAGTTTTGCATTGCCCCAAACCAAGCAGCCGTCTTGCTTGAACCAAAAATAGCAAAATGTCTAAATGTATAACAAAATACATGTTTCCAATTTCTACAACTTGGATAAAATGACACCCATAACCGTTATAAGATATGAAATATGAAAAATGTGACAATGGAGGGAAACAAGTAAAATTAATAATCATAGTGATAGATGTAATGTACAATGGTTGGCATTTTTTATTTGGGATTAGGGCTTTTGTTAGAGAGAAAATTACTCCAGGTTGCAGTCCCATGTATAAAACAAAGTAAATGTCTCGTCATAAGTTCACTTTCTAGAAATTAAACCTTCCTTCATATGAAATGTTTTGCAAGTTTTTTTCATTAGTTTTGCACTTCATATTTGTATGTGAAACAAGAAGTGAAATATCTTTTGAGGGACTCTTATATACTTCTCTGCCACAATTTATCTATCTGATGGGGAAATCAAATGTCTCAGCTATCTATTTGCATCGACAGAAGGCTTAATTCCTTATCAACATCCGTTATGCCTTTTATCTTCAAAATAAATGACCATCTACGCAGAGAAAATGAGAAAGCTTATGAACCAGAAATACTCGCTATTGGTCCTTATCACCGTGACAAAGTTCACTTACAAATGATGGAAGAACACAAATTACGGTACCTACAAGAGCTGCTTAAGGACAGAATGGAGTTGAGTGTAAACGGATATCTGTTAAAGATGGAATATTTGGAAGAGAAGGCACGTAAATGTTATGCAGAACCCATTGAACTGGAGAAGGATAAGTTTTTGGAAATGATGATACTTGATGGGTGCTTTATCATCGAATTATTTCGCAAGTTTGAAAACCAAAATTTTCAAAATGACCCCATTTTCAAAATTTCTCCGATTCTGTGGAGTGTAAAACGTGATTTATTATTATTTGAGAATCAACTTCCACTCAGTTTCCTTCTCCAGTTATTTGATATTATCGGATATCCAGACCAACAAACCCCGCTAATTCCCTTGGCCATCAGATTTTTCGGTACAACCTTTTTTGGTTTGTCGTGTTCACAAACTTCCAATAGTCTAGTAACCGACATTATAGAAAACAACACCAATCATCTTCTAGGCCTCGTACATGATTTCTGGTGCTCTTTTGCAAAGGAGTCCTCTCCTCAGTCTGGTGGGAATGTTGCAAAAAAAGAAAAGAAATTGATTTCCTTAAAAGGTGTTACAGAGCTCCGAGAAGATGGGATTAAATTCGTTAAGGCTGAAAAAGAAGAATCACAGAGTTTGCTGAATATTAACTTTGAAAAAGGCATCATGAGAATCCCTCCTCTTCTAATTGATGATGATATAGAGTGGCAATTAAGAAATCTGATTGCCTATGAGCAATATAGTGGAGGAATTGCAAAAACTTATATAACCGACTACGCGATTTTTATGGATTGCCTCCTCAATTCTCCCAAGGATGTCAAAATACTTCGCCACTCTAAAATTATTGATAACTGGTTAGGTGATGATGAAGTTGTTTCTACCATGTTTAACAGAATAGGCAATCATGTTGGATTCAATCCAGATTCTTTCTGTTATAAGGATGTTTTGAAGAAAGTTGAAGAGTATTGCGAGGTTCCTTGTCATGGATGGATGGCCTATTTAAGGTATAATTATTGCAACAATCCGTGGTCTATTCTTTCAGTCATTGCAGCTAGTATGTTGCTCATACTCACTGTGATACAAACTGTATCTTCTGTCTTACAATTCTGGTTTTAAGTCCAATTTGATTTACATGCCGACCCCCCTCAGTCAATAATATTATGCGCAAATAAGTTGTATCAGTGTTCAGCCAACATGTTGTTTCGAAATTTTAAGCCAGTGCAGTTTAGTTTAGTATCTATGGAGTAGTAAACTAAGAACTTATTTATGGAATTCAGTTGAGTATGTTATTTAACAGCTAGTCAAATAGAAGTTCGGCTAATTTTGTGTATGACTTGCAACTGGTTAGCTGTGCAGTGGGCCACCGCAAATATTATTGTCTAATTATAATGGATCTCGATGTTCTTAATTTTTGTCAATTTTAATCAATTTCAATCATACTCTTTCAAATTCATGGGTCTTGATTCACTAAATTTTGGTTAACTTCAATAATGGGTCATTTATATTCTTTCGTTAAGTGCAACAAACAATGGCAGACAGTTGTTAGAGAGATCGATCAAGTTTCTGTACTTAGGGGTAGAGAAATCCAGAGTTATGGATAAGATTGAACAGAATCAGAAGACTTTAATGTCTAAAAGTTCCTCTTCTTACGTTGTATTTCAGAGTTTGAAACTTTTGGGTTTGTCCTTCACTAATTTAATTGATGGTAAATCTTTTTTCTGATCACAAACTAATTATTTATTGCTAACAAAATCCCTACCATATCTTCTTCTGCCTGACTAACTGGTTCATCATCAGCTAACTGATGATATCAGGCATTAACTGATTGGCAATTGGTTGGATGGATGGAGCAGTCTTCCTCTTCCACCAGTTGTTCAAGGATAAGATTCCATGATTAACAAGGTAATCTCCAACATCAAAAACTGTTAATAAATGGAATTTTGTATATTAATTTTTTTTATGGTAATTTTTATTATTATTGGGTTATTGCTCTAATCGCGTCTTCATTGGCAGTCATAATTGCAAAACAACCTCAAATGTATGTAATTACTTTTAATTAGAGCGCACCGATTAAACTCTATCTTATGCTACCCAAAAAAACAAATTATTTAAAATGTATAAATTTACGTCTCGCTCTTATTGGTTTATAATTTTCACTAGGGAACTATAGAGAAAAACCTTTTAAGGGTTTTAATTAACCGGGGAATTTAGTCATGTCCAATCAATTATTTTAGGATATATTTTTTTAACATTAACGCTATTAAGACATAGTTTAGGGATGTAATTTGAAAACATAATATATTGTGATCATTTGATTGATTGATAGTAGAGTGCATTTAATGTTGAAATTATTGGTCTCACTTACACTTAGTCAAACTTAACGAATTCATGATGGATGAGTGATCGGGAGTGAAATTGATAAAAATTATAGTTAAGAAAATCCAAATCCAACCAATATTATCGAAACAACTATATAATAGTACATGGGGTGAAAATAATATGAAAGCTTACACCACAGGTGTGATATCTCAATTTTTTTTGGGTGTCAAACTTATAATTCGTTTGGAATTCATCATAATATCTTTTGAGGGACTGTTATGTACTTCTTTTCCACAACTTATCTATTTGAAAGGGAAACCAAATGTCTCAGTTGTCTATTGGCATCGACAAAAAGCCTGCTTCCTTATCATCGCCATCATTTGGGCCTTTTATCTTCAAACTAAAGGAACAATTAAAGCCTATGAGCTAGAAATACCCAGTGTTGGTCCTTATCATCGTGAAAAAGTTAATCTCCAAATGATGGAAAAACACAAACTATGGTACCTGCATGAGATGCTTAAACTAGGAAATGAGAGTGTGGATAGATACGTCGAAGCCATGGACAACTTGGAGGAGGAAGCACAAAATTGTTATGCATAACCCATTAAACTGAATAAGGATAAGTTTGTGGAAATAATGCTAGTAGATGAGTGTTTTATCATCGAGTTATTTTGTAAGTTTAACAATCCAACCTTGAGAGAAGCACACGACCCCATTTTCCAAATTCCTAAGATTCGGAAAAGTATACGAAAATTGTTCCAATCGAAAATTGTTCCAATCATGTTTTCTTTAAACTTATGGATTTTGGCTAATAATGAAAATCCCGGGTGTATACCATTATCTGTCAAAAACTACCCTATTGACACTAACGAAAAAAATAACGGAATCTAACACAAGCACCACACTGTAATACTTTTGATATATTCGGGGTAAAATGTGAAAATTTTAATTTTTGAATTCTTATAACTTGTGTGGTCAAATGGTTCATTTCCAAAAAGTTAGTAGTTTCCNTAATGGAATCTAACAGAAATGTTATATTGTAACACTTTTGATATATTAGGGGTAAAATATAAAAAATTTAATCTTTGAGGGTAGGAATTTGAATTCTTACAACTTGTGTGGTCAAATGGTTCATTTCCAAAAAGTTAGTAGTTTCCATCACCATATTTAACAAGGGTAATAATATTGAGACCTAAAAATATTATGTAATTTTTGTATCCAATTATGTGTTAAGTGATATCCTAGTTAAGAAATCTAACAATAATAATTACAATAATGATACTGGATCATATTACAAACACATGACTAGATTAGTAAATTAGTTTTATTTTTTAGGTACAAATAACACTGGTCAATTTGACATGATGTATTATTATCTAACATGATGTATCTCGGTCCTCTTAATTTTGTCAATTTTACCAATTTCAATCATGCCCTTTTCGGTGGATCCTAAAAATAGCCTCTATAGTTGTCTCATGATAGGACCTAATGAATCAACATGGATTGTTGAACCAATTCAAATTGGAAAACATTTAGAGTTAAGNTAAATAACACTGGCCAATTTGACATGATGTTTTATTATCTAACATGATGTATCTCGGTCCTCTTAATTTTGTCAATTTTACCAATTTCAATCATGCCCTTTTCGGTGGATCCTAAAAATAGCCTCTATAGTTGTCTCATGATAGGACCTAATGAATCAACATGGATTGTTGAACCAATTCAAATTGGAAAACATTTAGAGTTAAGGGAACCTCTTTTTTTTGGTCAATGAACATGGGTCTTGATTCTCAAAATTTTGGTCGAGTTCAATAATGTGTCCTTTTACAATGCTTTTAAAAGTCATATGGGTCTAGTCTAAAACAGATAATATTATACGTTAACAATCTGAGATATTGTGAAAACAAAATTGAAGAACTCTATAAGTATACCCATGTCAACTCTACAGATCCAGCATGTAGTAAACATCTTCATTCTCAGAAAAGATAAGATATTGCACCAGGGAATTTAGTGCTAAAAAAAGGTCATACAAATTATGCAAAATAGAGTGCATGCATAAACCTGGAAAACATACCCAAAAAGAGAGTAAACTATTCGTATGAAAAATTGTTGTGGAATCTAATGTGGAAGAGGAGGAGCTCACATGACACAACTTCACTTTCACAAAAGCAACATACTTGGGCTTTGTGATAGTTACTAGGCTTACTTTTACTTTTCGAAAAGAAATACATGGCTCCTCTTCACTTTCATAAATATTTTTCGTTCCATGTAAATCGGACGAGAAAAACAAGGAATTTGAAAATGGTTATGTTGTACAATTTGATGACCATTTATTTTGATTGTCTAAATCTTTTAATACAACAAGGTCTATTTTTTCTTCTTTTGGAGCAGAAGTGTAGTTAAGTGCTTTTTTTTTTTGAAAGGTAAATAAAGTTAAGTGCGTATTTGTTTCCATACAACATGGAGGTTTGAGTTCTACTATTGCAATTTCCTTGATTGATGTAATTTCATACTCTTACATCTAAGGAATGAGAAATTTTAAAGTGTTAATGTCATTTGCCAATTAAGAGATCAAAAAAAAATTATTTGCTCCCTCAAAGAGAAATAGACTCGGATCGAGTCATTAATTTTGCACAAGTTTAAGTGTAGAAAACATTTTTTTTCGTCCTCAAAGATGTAATAATTGCACTTTATCCCTTAAAAATTTTAAAAACTGCACTTTACCTCATAAATAATGGATTGTCTCAGGTTACATGCGTGGTATGTTGGAGCTTAATAGACAAAAAATGAGATATTTGCTAATTGGAAAAATTGTCTCAACTATCCACTCGCATCGACAGAAAGCTTGCTTCCTTTTCCATGTCCACCCTTTGGCCCTTATATCTTCAAATTAAATGACCAACGATGCTGGGAAAATAAGAAAGTCTATGAATTACAAAAACAAAAAAATTTACCGATGTTTACATAAGCGCCAGGAATAGAAACTTCGGAGAAACACTGACGTTTGATTTTTCACTGGAATAAATGTCAGATTACATTTACCGGCATTTATAGACTTAATTGGCATTTATATGGACTTTGCCAGCATTTGTAAACGTCAACTATTCCAAAATTTCTTGCAGTGTTGTGATAAATATGTCAGCGGTTCACCTCAGAATTATAAAATCAATATTGAATGGAACCACCATTCAGTTCGAAATTGACTACCATTATGTCCGAGATTAAGTTGCTACTAAATTGCTTGGGATTAATTATGCATTTTGTNCAATTTATACTAGTTGTGCGTGCAGGATCTTGCACAATATAAAAAACGAGAACAGATCTTTCCCTTGGTGAACTCGAGTGAATCAGTTGAGTGATCAACCACGCTGCTTGGGACAGCCTGCGAGGTCCGGTGGTAACCTGGAACGGTAACGGGAAACCCTCGTGAATTGAAGGAATGATCCAGTAAGGCTGGGAAAAGGTTCCTGGAACAAAGGAGAACAAGTTAGAAGGGCCCCGGAATGTTTTTCGGCTTATCCCCTCCGACGATCAAGTCAGTTTTTGAAAGGGCGAGAAAGAAGAAAACACTGAGTATATTTCGTAGTAAAGAGTTTTTGTTGCATACCGTTTTGCCTTTTATGAGGAGTATTTATACCTCAAAAGCTCATGATTGATGTCTGTGTTGTCAGTAGATGATCATTAGGTACAGGCAGTTTGCGTACTGATTCTGATGAGGAATGTCTTCCTTTCTTTAACTGCTCGGGGCGCCGAGCAATCAATGCTGTGTCATCGGGCTGCCGACTGTCTAATGATCT